CTGGGAGCTGATTCCATCAGACAGGAGCTGATAGCTGAAGGCTCTGAATCACATGTACATTTTGTTCTGGCAGTCCTTGAACATTTTTTTTGTGAATTTAATTTCTCTGCCGTGAGTCTGTGACAACTTTTGATTTTTGTTTTTTCAAAACTTTCTTGTCTTAACTTTGATATTAAATGATGTTGTTCTGTGATTTTAGATGGATGTAATTTTAATGTTGTTTTGTGAACGGACCCCAGGAAGACCAGCAGCCACCTTGTGGACGCTAGCGGGGATCCAAATACAGAATAAACAATGCTTAGTTTTAAACAAAACTCAGGGCTTCACAGCTTACAAAACTGTAGAAACTCAAAGTTCCCACACAAACAGTTCCCTTCATGTGACTGTGTGGAGGTCCATTCAAATGCTGCATTGCGGCTGTGAATGAATCAGTTCCCAGTTTTATCACTCTTTCACACTCAAATGAAACATGTGAACTGCTGCAGATGCCAAAGGCTAACACTCTGTAATCTTTATTCCTCTACCCCCCTTTTATTTTTTCATTTTTTATATTCTAAGGGTACAAATGGCGGTTGGCAAAAACAGGGTAAAGATAACGCGACTTATCCTCCATCTATAGATCTCTGTGTGCCAGTCCTCTGTGATAACCCCATTAAAATATTTCCTCTGGCAAATCCCTGAGAAATAAATCCTCTTTTTTTTTTTTTTCAACAGAAAAGAGGGGCGGGCAGGAAGGTCTGTCCGTCACATGGAGAAGTACAGTTTCCTTGGCAACCGCTGATGGTTTTTACGCAGCAGCAGCAGCAGCAGCAGCAGCAGCAGCCTGGCATCGGAGCGGCTGGTCGGGAGAAGTTTGCAGTGTGGACTTTAAAGAAGAATCACACATATTGATCACATTTAATGGGGAAAGTGGAGGAAAACACACCTCATGAACTATAAATAGCAGATTTTGGGACATTAAATCAGAACGTGAAGTTGATGCTCTGAATGAAACAGCTGTGCAGATGAACCGTGGTTATGTGACAGCCTCCTTTCCTCTGTCTGTCTCTGCTGCATCAGGCAGCTTCAGCAGCTCCTCGGTCTGGTCCCAGCTGATGGAGGACTGGCTGAGGGCTGTGGCGGCCTGCTTCCCTCGTGTGGACAGACAGTATTACAGCACCGGCATCCAGCAGAGGAAGCATCTTCTATCATCATAAGAAAGGCATATGTCCGTCCATGTTGCATTTAACAGCTGAATGAATACGTTGAGCAGCCTGCTCTTGTCTGGGCTGATTCATCTCATACATATATTCAGCTGACACACGTTTACTGAAACTTCAGAGCAAAGAACTTGTCGCTTGTAACTAGAATTTGATGGAGGAAATGTGTGTTAAAAAACAAACATGTGGACTGGTGGATGATGTAGAAAAGATTAAACAGAAAACCCACCATAGAGCATCTTAGGAAGGTTTTGAACCACCAGAACAGCTCGGTACTGGTTCTGGTGACTGTGAAGGCCACAACATAAGATTAAAGTCCATTTTATCCTCGTCAAACATTCACTCGTGTTCTTTGAACCCTGATCGACACCAACGGAGCGACCAGACCTGCTCGCTGTCAGGGGTCCAGGTTCAGCTTTTGAAAAAGTTCTTACAGGACTCCAGGTGCTCTTATTTATATATCTGTGTTAGGTGTGTTCAATTAAAAAAAAATGTGTTTAAAGTGAATGAAATTTTGCTTGAAAGTGGAAAAAGTGGACAAAAACCCTTCGACCAGATACAAGAAACTGTGACGTCTGAGAACTTTATTGTGCACGAAGAACTGCAGTGGTCCCCAACCACCGGGCCGTGGACCGGTACCGGGCCGTGGGTCATTTGGTACCGGGCCGCACAGATAGAATAAATACGTTTTACTGGTTTATTTTTATTTCCAGCGGCGTCTGCAGGGTGTTTTATTCTGAAACATGACCAGCTTGTCTTCCCGTCACTTGACTGTCAGTTTTTATGTCCGGCTGCTAAATGAAGCCGTCAGTCAATAACAAACGTCTCAGGAGAGCTGCTTTGGAAAGTGGGAGAGACTTGATACTGAGACAGGAGAAAAAAGTGAACATGTTAAGCAATAAAAATTAATTTTATTCATTTATGAAACTTTTCAATACAATTATTATGTGTTGTGTGCGTAATGACTTGTTTAAAACCGGTCCGTGGTGCAAAAAAGGTTGAAGACCGCTGGTTTACTGCATGGAAGTCTCTGGCAGTATTTTCAGGACTTTGGCAGTTATTATACTTCTATATTTGAAGAGTTAACTTGCAGAAACAGAGAACTCCGTCTTCACAAACCCACTTTTCCATCGTCTACCTGCGACACCAACCAAACTTCAGTTGTCTCTGTTTTCATCGTTTCTACTGAGTCACATCCACTCAGCTTCAGTCTGACTGATAGCATCTCAAGCAAACCACAAAAAACACAAGTTTCCTGAAAATCTACAAAGATGGAGTTATCTGTTTTTACAGATGAACTCTTCATTCCTTTACCTCTGTTCTTGGTCTTTATGAACTCTACTTTTATCTTCTAATAAAACTGGTCAAAATAAACGCTTTTTTTGGGGATATCGTTTCTCTTGTTTGTTTGTTTTTTGTCTTCTCAAATCGAATGTCTCTGTTGTACCTGCAAGCAGAAGGTGATGTTACACATCGCTTAGAAGGAACTTCCAGGTGAAGCTACAAGGACAAAGCAGCTGGTTTTATGGTAAACCTCCAATAAACGAGATGGCTGTTGGCACACGGACAGAAAAGGCTGAGAACTGTGATTTCATTGATTTATTTCCTCCAGACTTCGACCATTCTCACATCCACTTCAAAGCCCCACATACTCCACAGAAATCAAAACTCGAGACAAATGCATCTAAAAAAACAAAAAGAAAAACAAAAGTTTTGCAGGTAACATTTTTCAGAATTATCCCGTCTTCCAGTGCCGCTGATATGCAGAAACACAACGGAGAGTGTGACGACCTCAACAAAGACATGCAGTGATTCCCGTTGGTAGATGTCCAGCAGCAGCAGCTGTTGTGTTCTACAACAAACCTAAGAGACCACGTACCGCTCACACAGACAAACCCGCCTCAAACACCAAGTGTTGAAGCCACCAAGGAGATGAATACATGCTGGTTTGTGACATGCAGTGACGATATTTCCGTTTTAAATTAAAGTGAAATGGATCCAGTTTTTGAGATGTTCCCACTGAGCGCCTGACGGACAAACATGTCGGAGCAGCTGCACAGTTTCACGTTAACAATCCTCCGTCGTCCAGAGAGAGGAATCCTCCCGGATCAGTAACTGCAAGGCGCCTTTAACCTCCACCTTCAGAACTGCTGCTCACCCTGTCGCGTTTTTGCAGACATCACTGCTGCCTTCACCTGCGAAGGCACTGGGCTCTGTGACGACGGAAACGACCAGCCGCGTCACTTCTCCTGCAGAGTTAAGCGTCCTCTTCGTCCACATCGCTGTGCAGGGGCAGCCGGTGACTGTCAGAGGCTGGAACCAGGCAGCGCTCGCTATTCATGGTTAGAGTCCTGACGAAGACTCAGTGGATTTCAATGTGGACCTGTGCAGAGAAGAAGAATCTGTCAGGCAGCACACACTTTAAATTCAAATCCAGTTTGTTGTCATGGTGCTGCACATCCACAGCAGTACAGGCAGGATGACAGAGCCTTTCTCCAGGAACATAAAGCAGTTTAAATAAACAAGTGTTTGCATCTCTGGATCAGCAGTTCAGCGTTCTGACAGCTGGTGGCATGAAGCTGTGGATCAGTCTGGAGGTTCTTCCTCTAACGCTCCAGAAATGTTTGCCTTTACTCTAGACAGAATGAACATATTAGATGTAATCTAGCAAATCCAGGAATACGACATCAATAATAGGGCTGAAAAATGAAGCAAAAAATTCTCAAAATCACAATATGTCCAAGAACAATATCTGTTTCTTCCCAATATTCTTTAAAAAAGGTCAAATGTGTCACAACAGATTCTTTGAAATGACGCGTGTGCGGCTTGTCTGGCATAAACTTCAGTAGAAATTATCATCCATCCATCCACCCATCATCTCTACACCTTAATCCTCACCAGGGTCATGGGGGGCGGAGTCTATCCCAGCTGACTCAGGGTGAAGGCAGGTTCACCTGGACAGGTAACCAGTCTATCACAGGGCTACACTTAGAGACAGACAACCAAGCACACTCACATTCACACCTACGGACAATTTACAATCACCAATTAACCTCAGCATGTTTCTGGACTGTGGGAGGAAGCCGGAGAACCCGGAGAGAACCCACGCTGCACGGGGAGAACATGGAGACTCCACGCAGGAAGATCCCGGGTGTCCTCACCGGGACGCCAACCGGCGACCTTCTAGCTGTGAGGTGCTAACGGTGCTAACCACTGATCCACCTGCAGCCCAGAAATCCCTGTTCCCACAAAATCACTCACTGTGCAGCTGTAATATGTGTGAGAAGATTCTTCTGTCTGTTCTTCTAGCAGCGTGCACTCAGCATGTTAATTCTGATGAACACTCACTTACATGATCATCAGTAACTTCATCCTGATCAACCATGTAAACACTTACTGCATTTGAATTAATATTGCTGCAACTAATGACTCCTTCCACTGTCGATTGGCGCCTCGATGATTGAATTAGCCGTTTGATGTATAAAATATCTGACAAAGGTTAAAAATAAAATGCATATTTTTTGTTCAAAACCCAAAGACTGTCAGTTTCCTGTCATAAATGAGGAAAGAAGCCAGAAAATATTAGAAGTGGAATCAGAGGATTTACCTGAGTAGCTGATTATCAGTCATGCTGACGGTTAATTAAATACTGGACAACAAATCACTTGCTTGCTGCAGCTGTACTGATAAATAAGAACTCTCAGTTAAACTGTAAATAATACGAGTAAATCTTAGTACAGGCTGAAGCTCTGGAGACGGTTTAAGAGTCATTCAGACTGTAACAATTATATTTAGTCTTTAATTGATTAAATGATGTTTAGTATCAGCTGATCAGCTCATAATCTGAGATCTTTGAGCTGAAATGAAATGAAAAAAACAAAACAAAAACAGCTGGTTTCTACCTTAGTTCAGTTTAATATAACTGAGAGCTGGAATTTGGGATTAAATAAGTTGGATTTGTGCAGCAACAAACATTTTTGTTGTTGTTATTTATGTCTGATATCGTATAAACCACTAATATGCAAAATACTTGGCAGATTAACAGCAAACACCAGCATGAATCTTCTGCATATAAAACTAAATGTAATATTCAGTCAATCCTTAAAACACTGGGAACACCTCTCGAGTCACAAACTGATGATATCGATGAATTAACACCGAATTTGCAACCAAAAGCAAAGTTTATAGTCGCACTGGACTGTTTGAGTTCTACTGCTGAGTTAGAATGTTCTGATCCGTACATGAGCAGAAGTCTGCAGAACATGAAAGGCCTTTAAATCAGCTGTTGTCTTGTTGACATCAGCGGGCCGGTCCAACTGAACCGGGATCAGCAGCTTTAAGTCCTCCCACCGTGTCCGGTTTCACTAAACAGCAGGTGAGTTTCAGCATTTACCTGCAATCTGACGTTAAACATCATCGAGGCCACCAGGTAGATATACGGGAATCTGATTCGCAGCCGCCATGCGAGATCAAAAAATATCAACAAAGTCCTCGTCAAGCCTTTGGAGAACACCCCGTACGTCCGCCCAGCGGAGCCCGAGAACCGGAGCACTAAGTAGGACAGACCCGCCATAAAGGCCCGGCGCTTCGTCGGTTCACCGAGTCAGCTGGAGGAAACGGTGACAGTTCATATTTCTATCGCTGGCTCCATTTTTTCCATATTGGCTGTGTTGGCAGAGCTGCTCCACCCCGACAGCTTCTCCACCGACTCCTGTTATGGTCATCGGGCGGACCGATTGCGGTGTGACACACGGAAGTAGGAGGTATCTTGGGCAACCGGCCCCGAATTCCGACTGTCAGGAGGAATGAAATTACAGCATTAATACAAGCAAACAAGCTTAGCTGCATATTTCAGCTTTATAGCCACATAAAAAAGAAGGAAACGTAAATACACACTTAAACGTGTACACAAAGGGACTGATGTAGCTAACATGTTTATACAACACAAATTCATAGTTTATATGCATATGAATTATTTATCATATATTTATCATTCATACTAAACTATATTATATTGTAGTTATTTCTAATTATTATATATTATATTATATCTATTATATGAATTATTATATGTTATTTATAATGATATTTATTTATTTGTATTATTTATATTTCTCATATATTCACAATCGACCCGTCCAGGGTGTCTCCTGCCTTCGCCCTAAGTCAGCTGGGATGGACTCCAGCCCCCCACGACCCTAGTGAGGGTAAAGCGGTGTGTAGATAATGGATGGATGGATATGTTCACGGTGCCATGTATTTATGCTACCGTTTGGCTGCGACCATGCTCATTCCTGACTGTATATACTTCCTACTGGCTCCTCTAGTAAATATATTAATTTTATATTCTTATTTGTCTTTTTATGCTTGTATTTTGCACCACTGGAGTTGTCTTTTAATTTCGTTTTACTTTGTGTATGACGACAATAAAAAGCATTCTACTCTATTCTATTATATTCACTTTTTTTCTTTTTTGCAAAAGTGTGCCTGTATATTTGAACTTTTCAATAAATTCACAGTTTCGAAAGGTAAACTGTTGAAAGGTAAACTTAGGTTCATTAGTTCTTGCGTGTTTTTAAGGAGCCGGAGACTTCACATTCAGCACAGTTACGATGAGAAAAGTGTAATTCCAGAGAGGCAGATGTGACAGCTTTGTGTTCTGTTCAAGGTATTTTGTTAGTTTATTTGTCTGCTCTGCCCCAGCATACGTGTATGTCCTCATTTAAAATAACTTGTGTGACAACATGTTGCTGACACTGCTTTACCATGAGCTAGCAGGACAGCCTGAAAGACAAATCCAGGGAATAAATCCTTAACTTCAAACTTCCTCGTAATCAATCGGGTGGTCGAGCTGACGTCATTTCCTCTCTCAGTGTCGCACCCTAAGTAGTCCGACTTTTTATGTTTTATTATTAGTTTATACCAACAAAAGTTAAATATCTTTCTAAAAACTAATTACTTGATAATATATGTAAGTGTATCCTGTATTTAGAACAAGCGGTGACTGTCCAGCTGCTTGTTTTTTAGGAGGCTTCGGGAGTTTCTGTGGGCGGATCGGCCCGGTGCACCGGATGCACCATCTGCTGGCGGAGGCTAACTTCATTTTTTTTCTTAGGGGTGGTGGCCGCTGTTTTGCTTCATAGCTTCCAGATCAGCCCACGAAAGCATGGGAATGTTGCGAGGGAATTTCTGAGTAAAGTTTTGTTAAAGTGCGAGATAAGTTGCTGTAAGTCTCCCCGCCGGCCGCTGCACATCCCCGGAGCTCCGCCGCGACACCGAAGGCCGTTAGCGAGACGCTGTTGGGACGTTTCAGCAGCGAGCAATCCCGGACAAAGAAAGAGAGACTTGCGCTAACGTTAGCTGGCTCCCGGGCTAACTTAGCATTCCTCCAGCTGCGGCGCAATGCAGGCCATAAAGTGTGTTGTTGTCGGAGACGGGTGAGTGAAGCTAGCCGGGCTGATGCTGCTTTGTGTGTCTAACTTTACGGCCGGGTGTCGCTGGAAGGCTGTCAGCAGACGAGCTAACGGGAAGCATTTTCACTCACATTTTCCCAAACGGCTGAAGTTAGCCACGGAGCTCTAACTACCTGTTCATTTTAGCCACACGGAAATCACCGTTAAGTTCACTGTTTTTCCCCACAAATAAGAGTTATTCGCCATTTGTTGAGCGTACTACTCCTCTCATACGTAGGTGCTGTGTTAGTACACCGCTAGCATGGAGCTGGTTGGCTAATCTTTCACTTCTCTCGCTTGTATTGTTTTCCTCACACTTGGGTGAGTCACAGTTCACAGGACAGTTCACTGAACCTCCTCACCGCACTTTTAATCGGAGTTTAGCAAGAATCACTCAACAGTTGAGAAATGTGAGGAGCTGAAGCTGCTGCGTGTTCACATGATGAGAAGTCGGCTGTGATGCTGCTGGTTTGACTGCAGTGTTTGAGACTCAGGATGAACACACAAGCTGAGGCTGACGCTCAGATGTGTACCAATACGTGGGAGGTAAACACACTCATGAGTTTTTATCCTGGGTGTGGTGGATACCACAGCAGCAGAGTCATCCATAGGCCTGTGACTGGGTCACAGCTTGTATTCTCGGGGCAGACTAGAGGAACCTTGGAGTAGACAGAATTCACATAAAAGGGAACCTCTGAAGTTTCAGATTTTGCAAATAGCCCTCGTCTAGTGAACTTGCGTGCACGTCTTGCAAAAACAAAACTGAGGCTGCACCACATAGAGTATGAGATCAAATCATTCCAGTGGTCCTGATTGAATATTTGTTGGTGTTTTAGTGTTTGTATGTGCAATTCTGGGACAAACTGTATCAGAAAACCAACACTGGAGGCCTTTTTACTGTGGATAACTGCTGCTAACATGCCCCTGGTGAACTGGTCAGGATCTCGGTTAATCGGACGATAGGAAAAGCCTTAGTTTGCCCTTTTCCCCCCATAAACACTGAACACATCTCTTCTCCCTTCCAGAGCTGTGGGTAAGACCTGTCTGCTCATCAGCTACACCACCAATGCCTTCCCTGGAGAGTACATCCCCACAGTGTGAGTATCTGAGACTGCAGTGCAGAGTGTATTTATTTATTTATGTGAGCCAAGCGCCCGTCATTCGTCTCCACCCTTGTTTCCTACACAGTCACTGCATGATTGTTAAGGTGGCAGCTCATTCTTCACTTGCTTTTCAAGATGGAAATTTAGTAGCTTGCAGAAAAGATTACAGTGGCTGCCGTGAACTGTAAATAAGACTCCGGCAAATAAAGATGTTGAAGGAAGTTATGCGAAAAGCTTGCACCTTATCAGATTCTGGACCAACTGTACTGATTTCTATCACTGTCACTGTGGCATGGATGGGCTCAGCAGCCACATCTGCCAGAGGATGAATCATTTTCAATTCAGAGGGCACAACAGATCAATTAAAAAATTGATTTCCATTTCAATTTTGTGTCTGCTCCCTGTCACACTTTGACATACTACTATTATTTTATCAGTGTATCTTCAGCCTGATGAGTTTGGCTCGTTTACATGTCGTCATTTCTGTCAGGTTCGACAACTACTCTGCCAATGTTATGGTGGACGGGAAGCCGGTGAACCTGGGCCTTTGGGATACAGCAGGACAAGAAGACTATGACAGACTCCGCCCACTTTCCTACCCACAGACGGTACAATAAGAAGGCAGTCAGACAATGCCGTATTATGTTTTGCTTGTTATTCTCCTTACATAATCCATTTGGAAAGTTTGGGTTACGAGAATGAATGAGGAAGTTAAAAGGAAAGACAACAACACACCTTTGTTAACACGGGACTGTTTTTTTCTTCCTCTAATGTTCTTAACAGGAGACAACTGCTGTGGGCTCTGATTGCTTTGTTTTCTTTGTCTTACCAGGATGTGTTTCTCATCTGCTTTTCGCTTGTGAGTCCTGCCTCGTTTGAAAACGTCCGTGCCAAGGTGAGCAGCGACTGGAAGGGAAAGCGTGTCAGTGTGGCTCAGTCGGAGCAGAGCTTCAATTAGCCTTTGACATAACTTGAAAACCAGTTTAGGTGGAAACCTAATCTAAACCTCCACGTAACTAATAAACTTCCTGGAACAATGCGGTTTTGTTTCCTGAAAGATCAACAACATGATGGAAAATAGCAGCTACCAGCTATTGTTAGTGTTGATAAATCTTCAGATCACCTTCTAGACAGTCATTTTTAACTGACTGTCATTAAGGCAAAGGAGCAGTTCATCCTTATAGCAGAGAAGATGGTAAATGTTTGGCAAAGTGGAGTCAGTCAGCTATTTTTTTTCTAAGACTAAAGCATTGGGGTAAAAATAAAACAAGCTGGCATAAGCACAGTGTGATGTGTGCTAATCGCTAAAAAAGAAAAGCAGTTTGCCCACAGTGTTCAAGTCGACCACACGTAGCCTGGATCTGTCCAGTCCTAATGTGAATATTTACAGAAGTTATTAACATTTTGCAGTCAGTAATACTGTAATATTTAAATGAGCTAGCTGTGACCTTCTCACCCCTCAGGCTAATCAGCAGTCACCACACATTGTCCATTAGTTCACACAGAACGTAAACATGTCCGTGGAGCTTCTGCACTCTTAATAGTTCTGAAGTCTAATGTTTAGTAACGGTTTGTTCATTATAAGACAAATGGGCAACATGGCAGATGGTCAAACTCAGCTTTAATTTAATAATCAGGTCCTTGTATTCTGTAATCACCAGGTGACTTTATGAGAGCGACAGTATCTTGTACTTGTAGCTATCAGAGGTGGTGGTGGTCAGCTACGTGTCGCAGCATCACCAGGGAACAGATTAAAGGTGAAGTTGCTCTCAGTGGCAGGACCCTTGTAGCTTGAGCATATTTTCACAATAACAAGCTGAAACCGTTTCACAAACCTTATTTTAGTTTAAATGTGAAGAAAGTTCAATAATCAATATGTTTTTTTTCCCATATAAAACGTGGGTCATGTGATTGCTTGTATGCTGAGGGAGTTTCTCTTGGCGATAAACCAACAGGAAATGATTATTTGACTCTGCACTTCCCCTCAGCTCTGCCAAATGACGTTTTGTTTTGGCTTTCAAGACCACAACTTTACTGGAAGGGTTCACTCTCACTGCTCCCACGGTGGCATCTCCACACTCCGTCACAAACCCACTGAACAGAACCGGGCCAGCACCAAACAGAGCCGGGCGTCTCGCTCAGGAGGTCATGACATGCTTTAAGTGTAAACAAGCATGACCTCATATTATGGCTGATGGATAAACTTTGCTAACAAGTTCACCAGAACTTAAATTCTGATTGTGTCTTAGCGTGTTGTCCAGCCCGACTCGTGGCCAAAACATCTTTCCATGAAGTACTTGGTGATTCAAAAAGTTGCCTCTCCTCTGTCAAAGCACAAGCATATTCATTAATAATGGAAATAATCATTATTTGCTGCCCTACAATTGCCAGCACTTAATAAACAAGACGTCCAAGACAGACATACATTGATGTCCCCGTCCTGTCACTGTTGTCTCCTGCAGTGGTACCCTGAGGTGAGACACCACTGTCCCAACACTCCCATCATCCTCGTGGGCACCAAGCTGGATCTGAGAGATGACAAGGACACCACGGAGAAGCTGAAGGAGAAGAAACTGTCTCCCATCACCTATCCCCAAGGACTGGCCATGGCCAAAGAGATTGGTAACAACTTCAGAGTTTTCTCAGGCTAAAATCGAGTTTGTAAAAGAGGGAAACATTCCAGAAATAAACCTGTGTCCTTTTCTGTGCTCTCCTCAGGTTCCGTCAAGTACCTGGAGTGCTCAGCCCTGACCCAACGTGGCCTTAAAACTGTGTTCGACGAGGCCATCCGGGCCGTCCTGTGCCCTCCGCCCGTCAAGAAGAACCGGAAGAAGTGCACCCTCCTCTAAGATTGCCTCCACTGGAACAGTTACAGGGGAACGTGGCTGCTAGTGGTGAGGGTGGCTAAAGACACAGGAGAAACACACCAGTATACACACAAAAACCATGTACTTCAGATTCTGTCCTTCCATGAGTGTAGCTACAGCAGTTATACCAACCATTTCCATGAAAAATTGAACATAGTCAGCTTTAGGAGAAGGGCTTGGACTACCATAGACCCTAGTTCTTTCCTAACAATGTATACTGTATAGACAAGACTATGAATTTCTTGAGGCCTTCTAAAATGGATTGGATGTTTTGTAAAAATGGACCGTGGAATGTCTTCGATTTGTTCTTCCACCGGTTGTCCACCTTTTTTTTGTTTACAGTCTTGGTTGTTTGTTTTGAGTGGAAGAAATTTTGCCAAATACATCCTGCACACACGCTGCATTTTAGCTGAACAGAAAAACCTTTGTTCATTTGTCTCACACCTCCAAAACACAGCCGGCAGTTTGCTGTTGAGAGCCGCTGTTCGTTCAGCTCCTCGATCGACGGCATTCCCAAGCCCCGAGTTCACTTTCTCGTTGTGACGGTAGTTGTGTCATCACACTGTCTGCAAGGAGCTTGAAGTAACCATCTGTGAAGTTCTTATTGCCTCGAATGACTGTTCATGTACCAGAACCTCTTTGCCAGTAGTTAGTTTTCAGTCCTAGTACGATTCATGTTCATTGATTCTCACGGATCGAATGACACCTGAAACATACTGAAAATCCAGACTGCAGACACCAACAGTGCTATTAATCCCTGAAAAATCTAAACGATCCAGTATTTTATGCATTTGGCTCCAATTGGACCGGTCACGTTTAGGACATCTTTCTTTCCTCTTTGCAATGTTTCCCCCAGAAGCGTATCGACTGTAACGCTGCCCAGGAGTGCAAATCTGAAAACTTGATGACATGTGGGATTAGAAACGTTCAGGTGTTTTGGTGATGGGGAACAAGAGCACCATTAATGCTCTGTGGGCATTTATCCTTTTTGTGCAGCACGTTTTACTTTCTTTAGCATCACTACTGGCTAAGCAATGTCACTAAGAAGAGCATCTACGCCTGCTAACAGCGGTAACAGAGCTACTGTCGGTCGTGGTGTAGTCAACAGTGTACTCATCTTTTTGCTATAATCATGTGATTTGACTATTTTGTATCTCACTCACTCACTGTATTGTTAACTAACACTATGAATATCCCTTGTTTATTACCTCTGCAGTTAACGCTACCTTAATCTCCCTACAAGCCTAGCTTTTTGTAATTAATGCTGACAGCATGTATGTGCATCATATACTGAAAACTTAAGATTAGAATTGCTACAGTTATATTTTTTGCCTATTTACAAGATGTATTTGAACTACTAGATCAGGGGTTAAGTTCATCCGTGTTGTATTCAGACATCAAGCTGTGCTTTAATTCAAGCCAATGTTGTGACTCTTTAGTTTTATGGATAAAAGCTATTGTCACTTTTTGAAAAAGCCAATAAATTCCTGTAAAACAGACGTATTGCTGCGTGTTTGTCACACGGTGCGACCACAGTTTTCCTTTAATTCAACACAAAAACAACCAAAGTATTAGCGACTCACTTAACTGCAGACAGCTCGTGTTTGCTCTGGAAAACAGACAAGCCCAGATAATTAAAATGCCATTTATTTACAGACACTTGTCACATCTAGCAGGTGAAATGCTCCGTCTACGTGTCCACTTAGCGTGTTGTCAGTTTTAATGAGAGCCAACATGCAGTGACTGACGTGGAAGACGCGTCAGGAATTATTCTGTCAGCTGTGTGGTTTCTACGAGCTTCTGTCCCTCTTCGTCTGCTGAATTAAATATAACGTTATAAAAAGGCAAAGTTTTATGACTGTTACCATAGAAATGATTAATTCAACAGATTAGAGTTGTTCATTGGATTTATTGGGCCACGGAACCCTGAGGGAGTATGTACACATCTGATTCAGATGGACAATTTCAGTACCAGAAATATAAAACTGAGCTACTTTCTGGACACTTTGGCAGGTGCAGATAGTAATTATGATGAGTAATGTGTGACATTTAAGGGAAAGAAACATTTCATCTTTAAGACAAGATCAACCAAAACCTCACAGGGTCATGTCAACAAAAGTGACTGTTCATCAACCCACAAGGGTTGGTCATACATTTGGCACAGAGTCTACATCTGAAACCTTAAATTAATCCATCCATCATCTCTACACCTTAATCCTCACTAGGGTAACGGGGGGGCGGAGCCTATCCCAGCTGACTCAGGGTGAAGGCAGGTTCACCTGGACAGGTAACCAGTCTATCACAGGGCTACACTTAGAGACAGACAACCAAGCACACTCACATTCACACCTACAGACAATTTACAATCACCAATTAACCTCAGCATGTTTCTGGACTGTGGGAGGAAGCTGGAGAACCCGGAGAGAACCCACGCTGCACGGGGAGAACATGGAGACTCCACGCAGGAAGATCCCGGGTGTCCTCACCGGGATGTGAACCAGCGACCTTCTAGCTGTGAGGAGCTAACGGTGCTAACCACTGAGACACCTGCAGCTAAATTAATCCAGTCAAACCTCATTCAAACACTTTTTTTAACAGTCGTCTAATGCCTTGTGTATTTCTCATCCCCGTTCACTCCCCGGCTGATGACTGTCAGCCTCGTAGCAGCTCAGGAATCCACAAATCGCAGTAATGTGCCCGAAGTGGTAGGTATGCTGAAAGGAACAAACAAATGAGGTGTGTTCAGTAAAGTCAAAGTGCAGGATTCCCCAGAGGCCTGAATAAGACATAAAATAGGTCAGACATTTTGACAAAAACCACAAGAGAAAAAAAAACCTGCAGCTACTGAACTGTGAGGATCAGAAACGAGGAGCGTTTTTTATCATTAACAGCATCCAGTACTTGTACAAACTGGTACTACCTCTCCACCAGCTCTGCTCCAACAATGTCATGGATGTGGTACTTCATGTGGAATTTCACTTGTGAAGTCGTCCGTCGCTCCTCAATATCTGCCTTCAGGATTTCGCTGTACTTGGACTTCTTCACCATGCCGAGCACGGCTTTACGGCCTAACCAGAGAAGTGGTGACACGGTTAGAAACAAACAGTCCTGCAGGTAGCGTGTGAAAAGTCCTGCAACAAAATGGAGAAAAGTGAACGGGACATAAACCCACCTTGTATGAAGTACTTGGTGAATTTGCCGGAGTTGGGAATAGAAAGCCACCAGCTGCCTGCATCCCTCACAGTCAGGACCCCTGACTTCACCAGCTGCCTGGGTGGTGGGAGAAGAAAGCATGTGCTGACCTGTCAACATCACCGAGACAAGCTGGGGCTTCACATTTAGGTGCAACACTTCTTAACTTCTTGTAAACCTGTAGATCAAAGTTGAACTGTGTCCTCTCTGTTTTCTTGGCTGCACATGAACATCAAGTTAAAAACTGTGAAGATCTTGTCCATAACTTCACGCACATTTCCCCCAACATTCACTTTCATAGACATCTACTGGAAATGTAAATAGTTTGAATAAATCTCAGCAGCAGCAATTTGTTTGTAATGTTTAACTAGACTGAGTTGTGTTTTCCATCCATCCATCATCTCTACACCTTAATCCTCACCAGGGTAACGGGGGGGCGGAGCCTATCCCAGCTGACTCAGGGTGAAGGCAGGTTCACCTGGACAGGTAACCAGTCTATCACAGGGCTACACTTAGAGACAGACAACCAAGCACACTCACATTCACACCTACGGACAATTTACAATCACCAATTAACCTCAGCATGTTTCTGGACTGTGGGAGGAAGCCGGAGAACCCGGAGAGAACCCACGCTGCACGGGGAGAACATGGAGACTCCACGCAGGAAGATCCTGGGTGTCCTCACCGGGACACCAACCGGCGACCTTCTAGCTGTGAGGCCACGGTGCTAACCACTGAGCCACCTGCAGCCCGAGTTGTGTTTTAGTTTGATTAATGATTCATCAAAAGGAATCTGGATTGTTTTGCTGCAGTATGACACAAGAGTGAAACTTAAAAAGCGTGAAACGGGCGGTTATCTTTCATACGTTATCTCAGAGTCCGTGAACAGAAACTCCGTCAGCATCTTGTCCTTGCTGAAGCTCAGATCCGTGCAAGAGGAAACGGCTTTCTCCAAGAACTTCTCCACTGCTGCTCGCGTCACTTTGCCCTCCTCTCCGGCCAGAACTTTGGTCTTGTAGTCCAAAGCAAAAACCAGCCCAAAAGCTTCTGCGTCAAAGCCGAGCTGGAACATCAGCAGTTCTCCGCGTTCACGCAGTTTATTCTGCGTAGCACAGAGGTGACACTGGTTGTGTTTTTGCATTTAGATCCACAGAAATGGTCAATCAAACATACAACATTGCAACGGCCATCTTACCACCTCCTTGTCCACCAGAGTCTTGTCGTGGTGAATGCTGTAGAGTTGGTGCTTCAGCACAATTTGAGGTAAGGCATCATTGAAGAGTTTCCTGGGAAACAGAGTCATGAGGTACTCCAGGGTGGACCTAATGTCAGTTGGTCCTTTCAGGTGAAAAAAATGGAGCCAAGTGTGAATTTTGCATCATTTAATGAGTTCTCAGTAAAACTATAATTAGCTTTTTAGGAGCCGGACGTACCATCTCCATCAGCATCAGCTCCAAACTGTTCTGGGCCATTTCTTCTTTTCTTCACCTTGAAAGCGTCTGAAATCAGAGCCCGTTTCCTGTTCATACCTGGAGGAGAAACCATGACCGTTTATCCAGACAGTCAATTTCTCGCGTCACAAATTTACGACTGTCTGCCAAAAGCTGACTGCGTGCTTCTTGTTAAACCTTCATCATGTGAAAATACACACAGCTGAGAAAAAGCACGTCTCTGTGAAGCTTTATCGTTTCTTATAGTCTTATAATTGTGACCAAGAAAATGTTTGCAGTTTAAAGCGTCATCAGGCCAGATATTCAGGACAATCACAGGTATTGTTTACAGTCTTAAGTTGTGTTTGTTTGCCATTTCTAGCATTCTTGTTTATTCTGTATTTAACATGATTTACAGATGGGTTCTCTCTTTTGCAATTATCAAATGAGCTATAATCTTTGCACTATAATATATCCTCATGAATGAAATCAAGTCATTCTGGTGAATTAATAGCATGCCAGTCACCATGTTGGGGCTCAATCAGTATCTCCGAGTGGAAAACTACATTTTAGGAGCTGAACTGGTCCTTTAAAGTGACTTCAGGAAGTGATTTGTTCATCATCTCGAGCATAAATCAGCTAAAATACCGCAGACACATGAGGATCATGACACTAGACATCATTTGCTGATCTGTGTGTCTGAACTGAGCAGACGATCACTTGTCCATTTTTTGACACGACAGTGAACGCAGCACAGATTTCTATTTGGGTTTTAACAACCAAACAACCAGCAGCAGCCCTACCGCTGCTGAATTCTGTTGGACGGATCTGTTACCTTTCCGCTGCTTTTAATAAACGCTGTTTTTGGTGTAGTTTTCATTCAGACTGTCTCGATCTCTCTGGTTCGGCCACCGGCTCGGCAGCTGAAGTTCTGAGGCAGCTAAGCTAACGCAGCTAGCTAACGCCGTTCAGGTGTTTGAGCGAGTTGTCTAGAGCTCTTACCTGCTCGCTAAAGGCAGTCACACTGAGTTTCCACATTACTTTGGTCCCACCCAGCCGCACACCGCCTTCACAGCTCCAAGCGGAAGCGTCCGACGTCTCCTGCAGACAGTTCCTCAGAGATGAACCGGAGGAAGTGTCGTGGCTTCCACCGAGCGGATTGGATTAAAACTACACCCGGAAGTAGCGTCAGGTTTGTTGTTAGCATGCGATGCTAGTTAGCTAGCTGCCCCGCCGGTGGACCAAACGCATTCATTTGTTATTTCCCTCAATCTGTGGTTATTTCCTCTCTCATTTTCCATTTAAGTTTTGTGTTAATCGGAAAGGACGCTGCAATTTATGTTTACTTTGTTTTGTCGCTGCGGTTGATTTAACATTACCAGAAAGTTAGCATTAGCTTTGCTACTTTGGCTGGCTAAGAGGTTGGTCTGAATTTTTTTTACCTGTAAATTAGTTATAACCATATTTTTCAGGACAAGAAAATGCACGTTGCAAGCACACGGCGACTGCATATGGAAACCTACAGGAACACACCAAGTCTAACTGCATCTTTGTGTTAGGACTGGACGTGCACGCAGCTGTTGCGTTATTTGCGCAGATCTTCTCATTTAAAGTGAATTGATTCCACGCAAGAAAATGCCACAAACTAAGTGCGTCAACATTACAAGAAGTAAAAGAGCAGGCTCGTCATAGAATAGACAAGCAACCCAAAGTCTACAGTGATGTGTGCAGCGTGAGCCTGAAAAAGATTTACAATTAATACTCACTCAGACTTAAAAAAATAAATAAAAAGATACAGAAGAGTGTTGTAATATATAGAGAAAAAAATATCACTGGAAGCATTAAATGTAGGTGATGGGTACACGGTCTAACCTGTGCAGGTAGGTAGCATGTGATCACAATATTTTATTGTTTCTCAGGGAGAACCTGCTTCCATTACAGTTAGTCCCATTCAAAGTCTTAGAAAGTTAGACAGTAAAGAAATTTAAGATAAACATAAACTGTAAAAAAATATACATTGTACTAGGAAAACAGAAATATAAGCATGCAGTGTAATAAATAGAGTTCTACATTGTGTTATTGCACAGACACGTAGTGATTGCACATGACTAAAAATAGGATTATTATTTATTATTGTTATTTTAAAAATGCAAGGACCTGGACAGTGACAGCACGCCTGCATGCAGCACTTTGTTGGACTATCCTGCAGGAGAACACGACTATTTAGAGCCTCGGAATAATCACTTTTGTCCGTTTTACTCAGAAATGGACCACTACAGATCCCGCAGTCCCAACTCCAGCTACCACAGCCGCCACTCAGCATACGACAGAGAAAGAGGAGACAGAGGAAGGAACCGCTGCGAGAATCAACGCCTCAGACCAAACAACCACCGGCAGCATCAGTCCGAGTTGGCTGCAGAGAAAAACCCGCAGAACTCTCGGGCTTTGAGCACCAGAAGGGAGCTTTATGAGCGGGACTTTCCTGTGTACAAACAGCCGGTGGAAGTGGGGAACTTTTCCCTCGACTCTGAACGCAGATTCTTCAATGACAGCAGACAGATGAGATACTATGTGGAACCTGATAGAAACCCGAACTTCAACCTGAGGGACGGATACAAGGACCGCTTCATAAAGAGAGATGACAGCGTGAAGGAGAAGCTGAGCCACATCCTCCGCTGGGTCATAGCCAATAGATCAAAGCTGACCACGAGGATGACCACAGCCTCGCCTTGGTAAGGACTTAGCAACTGTTACTGCTAAATGACTGACTTGGTTTCTTTCCTTTGGCCTCCAGTGGCCCCTGGACACCTCGCTGAGCAGAAAGCATCCAGGACTCAATTAATGTTCAACAGCGAGGACGTTCAGTGTCCGTGTTTCAGCAGAGACCTTTAGGGAAAGTTCATCTCCTGCCAGAGCTGCTGTTGGTAAATCCCCAAAGACGAAACGCTTCTTCATCACTAATCTGAAATCTGAAGTGCAGGCGTTTTATTGTTGGAAACACCTTCACTGATGTGGATCATTGAATAAAATGAACCACATCTAATAATACGTTTTCCTCCTGACCTGCTCAGAATCAGCTGATTCTTTACCTACAGACACTTTATTTCATGAAGCTAAGTTTTAGCTCCATGCAACATTATTTCCAGAGTTCCAGCCTTGACGTTGCTGCTTTTTCACTGGATTTGGCAGATTTTTTATTTTTTTTTTTACTGAATATCCCAGAAACCTCAAGAAAAAGTTGGAACTTGTAATCATGTCAATATCTAATGCAGATGTTTTAATATTTTTTTTACTGAATATCCCAGAAACCTCAAGAAAAAATTGGAACTTGTAATCATGTCAATATCTAATGCAGATGTTTTAATATATATATATATTTTTTTTACAGAAATTTAAATAACAAAAGTCTATCATTTAGCATCAAAACGAAAATCTTTAATTTTCAAAAATTTATATCAACAAAAATATTCACTTACTTTAGCATCTTTAATTTGGAATATGTTTTCAGTGGATGTGAAGAATTTCCCTTCAAAAAGTATCAAAGAAATTAAAACAGTGCTTCCTGAAAAAAACAAAAAAGCAATTAAAATATCCTAAAAACGGGATTTTCCAGCACTGAAGCTAATTTTAGGATTTAAAATTTTTGTTGCACCAAATGACATTTTGATTTGACAACACTCAGTTGTTTCTACCCACAGCAGAAATTTGGTTTGAATCAAGTGAATATTTGTGAAGATTTTACATTTTGAAAATTAAGGATTTTTCATTTTGGTGATAAATTTTTGATTTTTATTATTTTAATTCTGACATGACAAGTTTTCACTTTTTCTTGAGGTTTCTGAGGTATTCAGTAAGAAATCTGCCAAACCGGTGATAAATGAGCAACGTGGGGAGGCTCTGAATATGCTTTAAAACAACCGCTGAAGTTATAAAATAAAACACAGAGGGCCTATTTTCAAAAACCCCTGACTCAGAAGGGATTTGGAGTGGAGCTGTAGGATTTTGCAGGACTTCATGGTTTAGGTAGAAGTTTTTACAGGATTTTTTTTAACATTATTTTTTAAATACATGACAGAAACTGGGAGAAGTTCTGAAATCTGGGTGGATTGACGTTAAATGACCCACAGGTGAATGCAAAAATATAACTACTATTTGTTAATAAAAACAGGTATTTAGGCAGTTCTAAAACTGTATTTCACATTTTTACATCCTAATATGTATATGGTTTCTACACTTATTTCTTCAGGTCCAGTCCACCACAGAACCAACACAGATAAATGGATGTTTAGCGTTAAACCCGTCCACCGTTAACCACAGCTCTGCCTGCTGGACACGTGTTCTTTGGTCAACCTCTTCTCTTCTCAGTGCTTTAGATGTGGACTTTGTGACGTGGCGAGGACACCTGACCAAGCTGCTGACCACGCCGTATGAGACCAGAGAGGGCTGGATGCTGGCGGCCACCAAGTTCAGAGGCACCATTTACATCAGCGAGGTGGAAACGGAAGCTGCTCAGAGGGAACGGGAGAACCGGACCGAGAGGCACGAAGAGATGATGTACTGGGGATACAAGTTTGAGCAGTACATGTGTGCAGGTGGGTGAATCTGATTGGTGCAACAACTGATCAGTCAGAATTATACCTCTCAATGAACACATCAGGGCTGCAGGTTCTCGATGGTTAGCACCGTTAGCGCCTCACAGCTAGAAGGTCGCCGGTTGGCGTCCCGGTGAGGACACCCGGGATCTTCCTGCGTGGAGTCTCCATGTTCTCCCCGTGCAGCGTGGGTTCTCTCCGGGTTCTCCGGCTTCCTCCCACAGTCCAGAAACATGCTGAGGTTAATTGGTGATTGTAAATTGTCCGTAGGTGTGAATGTGAGTGTGCTTGGTTGTCTGTCTCTAAGTGTAGCCCTGTGATAGACTGGTTACCTGTCCAGGTGAACCTGTCTTCACCCTGAGGCAGCTGGGATAGGCTCCGCCCCCCATGACCCTGGTGAGGATTAAGGTGTAGAGATGATGGATGGATAAACACATCAGCTTTGACAGTTAGTTGGTGGATTGTCATAGTTCAGTGTTCCTCAGGTCTACATTAATTTAAATCCCAAAACAGTGGTATTGTGATTTAAACTGAATGAGAAGCTCTAACTTTTCATCATTATACCTCTAAATACATTTACTTTGACATTTCGTCGGTCCATTTCTGCCGCAAAACAAAAAGGTGGTGGATTGTAATAATAATAATCACCTTAAAAAACAAATCTGACTGACTGACGGTTGACTGACTGAGTGATTGTTGTTGTGTGGAATATGTGTTGTATTGATTAAAAAAAAAAAGAAGGGAGAGAAAGTGAGCTTTTACAAGATTGAATTTCCCTTCTGGGATAAATAAAGTATTTTTCATTTCATTTCAGTTCATTGTAGGTGATGACAAAAATACATTCATGGAAGTTTTTGTTTTTATAATATTAAGATCCATAAACCCTGTTCACATGTGGGGACCCAGCACACCACGGCATAGAAAAGGACGCTGGCGACCGCCGACTGGTAGAACATCTGCAGGAGTTTCCTGCAGATGTTGAACGACCGGAGCCTCCTCAGGAAGTCCAGCCTGCTCTGTCCCCTCTTGTACAGGTCGTCTGTGTTACGTGTCCAGTCCAACTTGTTGTCCAGCCACAGCCCAAGGTACTCGTAGTTCTCTACAAGTTCTACCTCATGTGCCTCAATCAGAACTGGTCGCGGGCATGGTCCAGATCTCCTGAAGTCTATGACCAGTTCCTTTGTCTTTGAGGCTGTCGCGGGGTCCACCCAACAACTTTCCCAAACGGGGAGAAAACAATGGTGTAGTCGTCAGCTGTGGTTTTAAATTTATTATCAGGCCTCTCCAAAGTGCAAAAAAAGTGCAAAAACCCAACTGTACAAAAAATAAGCAAAGAAAATAAAAACTCTATATACAAATCTACAGGACTACATACACACCAGTTCTCCTTTAACTCCAGCTTTCAAAAAAATTCACAGACCAACACTGCCAATACCTCCAACCCCGACTCCAAACTCCAGCTACTCCCACACTCCAATCAGGCCCAGAGCCCTCGGTTTTAAAGGCCAAGCCCCTCCCACTGGGCGTACATAAACATGGTTTTCTATTCTACACAAACAGTTTCACCCCAGTTCACCCCAGTTCACCCCTGCTATGGGAAACACAAAATGATTAGTCAGGGGCCAGGGGTAGGGTTTCCCACAATAACCCATCATCAATCCCAGGAATAATTTTTAAAGGAAAAATAATGAAATAATGCGTGTCATGTGACTGGCAAACCGCGCGGGCCCAAACCATTTAAGCCGGCTGGTGGTATGGCCCGGGTTTGCCCATCACCATGTTGGTGCATTCCAGCCAGCTGCCCACCACTGCAAGGGATGGTGAGTGTGAGTGAGTGTGTGTGTGTGTGTGTGTGTGTGTGTGAGTGCGTGTGTGCGTGTGTGCGTGTATGGACGAGAGAGAGAGAATCGCTGCAAGTGTGCACCCTTGGTCACGATACTTAACAGCAGGAAGTGAAATAGGATGAGGTGTGTGCAGGTTATGGTAACGTTTGTAAATGGGTGTACGTATGTGTGTGTCCTGTGTGTGTGTGTGTGTGCTACGCGGCGGGTGCGCCGCGTTGGCGTGTGCCACGTCAGCATACCGGCCCACTAACTTGGGCTAGTGACGCCATCGCTCCGTCACAGAGGCGTTGAGCTGCAGGTGGTTTTCTCTGCACCAGACAACAAAGTCGTCCACCAGACTCCTGGACTCACTCTCTCTGTCATCCCTGATACACCCCATGATGGTTGTGTCATCTGCGTACTTCTGTATGTGGCACAGCTCTGAGTTGTAACAGAAGTCCGAGGTGTCCAGGCTGAAGAGGAGAGGGACCAGCACTGTCCCTGGAGGGGCCCCTGTGCTGCTGACCACAGGGTCAGATGTGGTGTCCTTCAGTCTGACACACTGTGGTCTGTCAGTGAGGTAGTCGGAGATCCAGTCCACCAGACACGAGTCCACTCCATCCTTTGTAACTTTCCGCACAGTAATGGGGGCTGGCACTTGAGAAGTCCATAAAAAGAATCCTCACAGTGCCGCTTCCCTTGTCCAGGTGTGAGTGGGCTCGATGGAGGACGTACAGCACAGCATCCTCCACCCCAACATTTGCCCAAATGGAGGAGGAGCCGCTCCAGCGTCTTCATCAGGTGTGAAGTGAGCGCCACTGGTCGGTAGTCATTCAGCTCGCTCACACTTTCTGAGTATTTTTTTAGTTTTGGCATCACTCACAATCCAGCAGATGTTTTTTTTGGGGGGGGGTAGAAATGGACCAACTAACAAACAAACTACTGCCCCCAGATGATACCAGCCCTTTGACCCAGATCTATGAGATATAAGGTCATGATTAGGTTAGAATGTTGAGTCTTTAGCTGAAAACAATTAAATACCAAGTCATCATTCTACATAGTTCGTCAACTAATCACTCACAGATTTGACTTTAGTAATAGTCATTCTGGAAAAGTAGTGAAATGTTTTCTGAAATCTTTACTTAAGAAGCCAGACTTTTTTCCATCTCATATCTTCAACTTGTATTTGTATGATTCAGAACATATCAAACGGTTCCTCCGTTTTTCTCTTTGGGCAGATAAGGCCTCCATACTAGTCTGATTAGACAGATATGAGGTGTTGCCTCTAACACACAAACTCAGATCCTATAAAAGGGATTAGCAGGCATTTAAAGTGATAACGCTTCACCTTTGTTCGTCCCCGTAGATAACGTCCACAGTGCTCCTGACCCCGACGGAGTGGTGAACACCAACGAAGCCTTCTGCACCGTCGTACAGACCCGACTCGCCGATCACAGACTTCTGTTCTCCGGCGAGGTGGACTGTCGGGATAAAGATCCCAGCGCTCCGGCTCCTCCCACCTGTTACATCGAGCTGAAGACATCCGCAGAGATCTGCACGCCCAAGCAGCGCAGCAACCTCCACAGGTGGAACAGACCGCCAGTCACCCCATGCTTCACTCTGCTGCCTTCTGCATGCTGAAGGTTTCCTCCTCTTCCTCAGGTTCAAGCTGCTGAAGTGGTGGGCCCAGTCCTTCCTTCCAGGGGTCCCTCGCGTCGTGGCAGGTTTTCGGGATCATGAAGGAGTCGTGGTTTCTGTGGAGACCTTTCACATCTCCAAAATCTCACAGCTCATCAAGGTTTGCTGTAATACTAGAATAAAAAACAGCATGTATGTGCTGGAAAATATCCCCACTCCGTCAATCTTGTCTTTTTAACAGAATGAATACAACTGCTGGAGGCCGACGGTGTGTATGAACTTCTGCTGTGATTTCCTGTCTTTTGTGAAGCGTGCAGTAACCGAAGACAGCCACAGGTGAGTGGAACAACAAGCAATGCTGTTT